TTAACTGCTATAGACTGAATGTTTGTGTCCCCCCAAATCCTTATGTTGAAGACCTAATCCCCCATGTGATGGTATATGGAGATGGGTCCTTTGGGAGGTAATCAGTGTTAGATGAGGTCTTGAGGGTTTGGCCCTCAAGATGGGATTGCTGCCCTTATAAGAAGAGCCACTAGAGAGCTTTCTGTAAAGCGGGAATAATGGTAGTACCCACTTCAGAGGATTGTTTTGAGAATTAAATGAATTAATACATATAAAATACTTAGAACAGTATCTGGCACATTGTAAGTACATTATAAATGTTAGCTATTGGTATTTACTGTGCTGGGCTCACAGAAGACCCTTTTAATATGAAGATTCATGTCTTATGTATATGCATATATATCCTACCCTTCATTTTCTCTTCATGGAGATTGAAAGACTGGTCTTTATGTACAGGATGTTTGGATCATTGGCCTTGATTTTTTTTCACAAAGGTATCCACAAATGTCAGTACCTGTTCTTGGGGGCCATCCAATTTCTCCAGAGAAGAGTCCTTCAGCCTCCTGCTGGAGTTGGGAGGAAGACTGGTGAAGGGGTGAAAACCTGGCTTTCACGAGGGAAGGGTGCTAGGTTCAGTATGCAGTTAAGTATACAGCCTTTTATTAGCCCCCATTTTAGCCCTATTTCTTACCCCTCGTTTCTACTGTGCCTGGTGTCCCTGATTCCAGAGTAACTCTGGTCCTTCTGCAGAGAATAAACTTCTAGTCTCCTCTGGGATGAAGAAAGAGAAATGAAATGGAGGGAGGAGTGTGTGCATAGCAGCCTGCTGTATGGGGTAGGTGAGGGGACTTAGGGATCTAGCTAAAGAATTCCAGCAAATCACCATTTTCAGCTCCTCTGTCTTCCATGAAGCTTAGTATCTCCAAGGACTCAGCCTTCCCAGGGACCTCCTTTTTGCTGAATACTTCATGGTAAGCTCTGCTGATCATTCACCACTTGAGAGGATGAAAAACAAGTTTTTCCTCTGCTCTCACAGCACAATCAACACAGAAGACTGATTTCTGTGACCAAATGTGTGGGGGTTTCTCCCTACCAGCAAGCAAGCAATTAATTCTTCAGCAGATACTAGCTGGGTATCCTCTAATTCAGATCTATTTTGACATTATCTACCGGGAGGTAGCATCAGATCCCACATGTTGAAGGCTCAGTCCTGAAGACTGCCCCCTACGGATGCCAGTCACAAGCCCAGGCCTCTGAAACTGTTGACTGACCAGCTATAAACCAGGGTCCCCACAACCCCCTCAATTGATTTGCTGAGCAGTTCACAGAACTCAGGGAAACACTTACGGGATGCCAGTCACAAGCCCAGGCCTCTGAAACTGTTGACTGACCAGCTATAAACCAGGGTCCTCACAACCCCCTCAATTGATTTGCTGAGCAGTTCACAGAACTCAGGGAAACACTTACATTTACCCATTTATTACATAGGTGATTACAAAGGATACAGATGAGGTGATACATAGGGCAAGGCAGGGGGGAAGGGGCACCCCTCCCTCCAGGAACCTCCACGTGTTCAGCTATCCAGAAGCTCTCCAAACCCAGTCCTCAGGTTTTTATGGAGGATTCATTATATAGGCATGATTGAAGCATGGACCATGTAGAAATGTGATTGGACAAAAAGGGCACGATCTAATACTAATACTCTGTGTGGGGAAGCCCAGCAAGGCCTGTCTGTTCTGGTTCTTCTTGACCTGTGTAGCATTCCTTCCTCCTGGGTATGGGGCAAGACCCTTTCTGCAGTGCTGTTCTTATGACCTACAATCAGATAAGGCAGGTCACAGAATTTCTTTATGGCCAGCGCCAACAAAAAGGCAGGTTAGAACAAGCCAGGAACTGTCGAAAAAAACCAAAATATACTTACCACACCACTCTTGTTGTCTCACTACCAAAAGTTTGACATCTGTCTGCTGCTGTATTTTTCCCCATTGTCATTTATACTCCCCTAATTACTCTATAAGTTCATGTTGTTAATTAGCCATATTTAACTGTATCTTTAGCAAATTAACTGAAAAAAAAGCCCTTCTATCTTTAAGTATCCATCTTAAAGTACGTCAGTTATGATGATCAGTTACTGAGGCCAATAAATCTTGGTCCACTTGCAAAGAAAACAAAAAGGAAATAAAAAATACATGTAAAATTTCCTCATCTATAAAATCTAGGTAGGAAAACATAGGGATTGCATTTTTCTATTGTCATCATGTATATAGTCCAATTCAGTTCAAACCAAAACAATTGAACAAATATTTACTGAGTCCCTACTGTGTGCCAGGCACTGTTACAGGTACGTGTGATACATCCTTGAACAAAGACCCCTGCCCTAAGGGAGCTTACATTCTAGTAGGTAGAAATAACAGTAAACAATAAGCTTAATAAATATGAAAGTACAGGTCAACGGGATACGGGAGTGCTGGAGTTGGGAGGTGAAGGACACACCATGTTAGATAGTATGGTCAGTATAAGCTTCAGTGAGACGGCAACATTTGAGCAAAGATGAGAAGGTATTGGTGTAGAATATCTTGAACAACTGGTGCAATGGCCCAAAGGCAGGAACAAGGCTGGAGCTCAGGAAAGAGGTCTGATCCAGAGATGTGAATTTGGCTGTAGTTAGAGGGATGGTATCTTAAGTCATAAGACTATATGAGATCACTGAGGCAGGGACTGTAGATAAAGTGATAAACAAGCCTTTCACTGAAAGCAGCAATCAAAGAAACCCAAATTCTTGGGAAATCTAAGACCACAGAAACATGATAGACGGGCTAGCCAGTTAGCACAGTTATTTAGAGTGCAACTTTATAATACGAAGGTCACAGGTTCAGATTCCCCAACTAGACAGCAACAAAAAAAAAAGAAGGAAAAGAAACATGGTAGAACAAATGTAAAAAACATTAAGAAGCCAGGTTTTTTTTTTTTTGTCTTTTTTGTGACCGGCCACACTACCGGGCTCAGCCAGTGAGCGCACCGGCCATCCCCATACAGGATCCGAACCCACGGTGGGAGCGCTGCTGCACTCCCAGAGCCACACTCTCCCCAGTGCGCCACAGGGTTGGCCCCAGTTTTGTTTTTTAATGTGGCATAACAGAAAAAAACCCAGGCATATTGGCATATACTCTGGATTTACAGTTTTACTTTGGGTAGTTCACACTTACGACGCTCAAGCAATTGAACTATTTGTTTTACCTCACATAAGAAGTTAAACTTCCTTGCCTCAATATGGCTCATACAGTCACCTTTCCCTGGTTCTCTTTGGTGGGCCCCTTGATGTGTTATTCTGGGAGGTATCTTAAAGACCCTCCCACTCAACAGAAAGACCCTTTCAAATCCTATACTGTATGTTTGGCAAAAGAAAAGTTAAAAAAAACTGAAATGGCAGCCAACAATCTCAGCATATCTACTGTGAAAAAGGCGTCAATATGTTTTAAAGAATTATGATTGGGCTGGTCCTGTGGCGCACTTGGGAGAGTGTGGCGCTGGGAGCGCAGCGACACTCCCGCCGCGGGTTCGGATCCTATATAGGAATGGCCGGTGCGCTCACTGGCTGAGCGCGGTGCGGGCGACACCAAGCCAAGGGTTGCAATTCCCTTACTGCTCAAGAAAAAGACAAAAAAAAAAAAAAGAATTATGATCAATTTTTAAAGGTACAATAATGGCATTGTGGCTATGTTTTAAAAGAGAGCTCATCTTTTAGAGAGAAATCCCAAAGTATTTGTACTTTGTACAATATTTGAACAACAAAACACTATGGACTGAAGTCTGCATACATATCTCCAAAGATAATTCCTAGGCTCCCAAGACAGCATTAAAATTTTGATTAAAGAAAAAAACAAAAAAACAAAACTGCAACAAAATACTAAAAGGGTTGCTAAGGAAATAAAATTTATGGCATATACACAAATATAATAATCTGACATTAAATGATTGTCTGTTTCTGTTACTAATCATTTTACATACTCGATAGCAGGGGTAGAAATCTATAGCCCTTGGGCCAAATGCAACCCCCATACCAGCTTTTCAAATGAAGTTTATTAAAACACTATAACACTCATTCACTTATATCAGTGGTTATCAAAGAGGGACAATTTTACCCTCCAATGGAAACCCAGCAATATCTGGAGACATTTCGGTTTTCACAGTTAGGGGGAGTGGGTAGCTACTAATACTGGCATCTTGTAGGTAGGGGCCAAGGATGCTGCTAAATATCCTACAATGTACAAGACAGCTGTCTACAGCAAAGTGTTATCCAGCCCAAAATACAAACAGTGCCAAGGTTCAGATACTCTAGCCCAGTTTATGTATTGTCTCTGGCTGCCTTTGTACTAAAATGGCAGAGTGGAATAGTGTGGCAGAGACCACATGGCCCACAACACCTAACATATTAACTATTTGACCTTTACAGAAAAACTTCGCTAATTCTTGCTCTATAGAAAACCATAAAATATAAATATCACATATATAGTAGGTTATCTATTAATTCTAGAAAACTCCTTTTAACATCATTTCCTCTAGAAGTGAGCCAACCAACATTTTTACTTATACAAGAGGTCTTCAAAAAGATTCACATTATCTTTTCATTCTATTTTTTCATGAACTTTTTGGAGTACTTTCATATCTTTTCTAGCCATATAAAGCAATGTAGTAAATGGTTGTACCATATTTTATTGATTCACTAAAGGGATATTTACAGCAGTGATTCCCAAAAGCCAATCCACAGATCACTGACTGCCATGAAATTTTGACTGGCCCATAGTAAAATGAGAAAAGCAAAGACAAATTTGGGGGATTTTCATAAATGTAATTCAATTTAAATGGCTGTTCTTCATGATTATATCCTTCATACATTTTTAAATATTAAAATGCATTTCTTTTCTGAAAAAATGTTAATAGGTGGCTGTTTTTTAATATGGCTAAACAGTTGGCAACATTGTCTCAAATCATTTAGAAAATTATTGGTTTCTGAAATCCCAAAAGCCAGGTAACCACTGATTTAGAGGCTTTTGCTCTAATATAGATTCTTTGATGTTGAATATAGTTCACATATCATTGCTAAAGGTATTTCTTAAATGTGTTTTGCAGTGTCTAATAAGTGATGAACTACAGCTGAAGGCTTTTCCACATTCATTACAATCATAAGGTTTTTCTCTAGTATGAATTCTCTGATGTTTAGCAAAGGATGAATCATGCCTAAAGGCTTTCCCGCAATGACTGCATTCATAAGGTTTCACTCCAGTATGGACTCTCTGATGGATAGAAAGATGTATTCTCTGGCTAAAGGCTTTCCCACATTCCTTACATTTATATGGTCTTTCTCCAGTATGAGTTCTCTGGTGTTGAGTTAGGTATGTGCTATGGCTGAAGGTTTTACTGCATACATTACAAATATAGGGTTTCACACCAGAATGAATAATCTCATGTTGTCTAAGGTGTCTAATCTGAAAAAATGCTTTTCCACAGTCTTTGCACATAAAAGGTTTTTCTCTAACATGAGTTCTCAGATGCTGGATCAATCCAATGCGCTGGCTGAAGGCTTTCTCACATACTCCACATTCATAGGGCTTCTCCCCAGTATGAATTCTAACATGTTGAGTAAGGGATGAAGGATGTCTGAAGGTTTTCCCACATTCCTTACATTCATAGGGTTTCTCACCAGTATGGATTCTCTGATGTCGAATAAGGGATGAACTTTGACTAAAGGCTTTTCCACATTCCTTACATCTGAAAGGTTTCTCTCCAGTATGAATTCTCATGTGTTCAGTAAGGTGAATGAGCTGTTTGAAGATTTTTTCACAAATACTACATTCAAAGGTTTTCATTTTTGTGTAACTCCTTGAATGATTAATCAAATCTAAGTTGTATCTGCCTCCCTTTCCAGATGTGTCATATTTACAGTCTCTTTTTCTTGGAAGACCTACTGGTCCCGGCATAACTTTTGAGCTCACACTAATTCTCTTCTCAAATCTGTTAGATTCTTGGCATCTCTCTGGAGCGAGCATTTTCTTGCAGATCACGGAAATTTGCTCCATACCCATTCCTTGGTTTTCCTGGTGGCTTTCTAATTTATCACATTTGGAGACTCTTCCCAATGTGGAATACAAGTTGTTTCCTCTTTTGGACCTTTCTAGCATCAGGCCATGCTGTAATTCTTCCCACGAAAAGTCATTCTTTAAATTTGACTCTTTGGTTTCTGTTTTACTCTCTAAGGCTGAAATAAATCCAGAAATAAATTTACTTTAAAAAAGCAAATTGCACAATGAGAATGGGAGGGAAAATAATTAATTGTATATGTACTATGTACAGGAGGCTTGGACTGTCTTCAAATTGCCACCTAGAGAGCTGACATGAAAATAAGTGAAGAAGTGGTCAGAGGAAAAAGATGTTAAAAGTATGTGAGGTGACTAAAATATTGGGAGGAGCTCATCCATGTGAATTACAAGAGGAAATGGACTAAGAAGAGAATAAAGGCAAATACCAAAACATAAGATTAAGGAAGACAGGATCCTAATACCATATCATCTCAAGCTCATATTTCTGTGACAAAATTTTCTCTGTTTAAGAAAAACAGTATTTTAAAAAAGGATTTATCTCTTACTTAATGAACATTAAAATAAAACATTAAATAATATAGCAATGCATTGACTAAAAAGGGATAGACTCTCCTGATCTGGGATGAGATTCCTTCCAGTCTCTGAGGATTTTGGAATGTATCCACTCAGACATTTCCCAACAAAATGTATACGTGAAGGTATGCATTTGCGTATATATGGTCTTAAATATATATTTGTAAAAAAAGGGATCATGGTATACTTATAGGTCGGCATCTTTCTAGTTTTTTTTAACTCAACTATATTTTATGGGCCTCCTATGTTGGCACATTTAGATTTATCTCATTCCTTCTCTTTGCAGCTGGCTGGTACAGGAATGCAAACCTATGACCTTAGTGTTATAAGGCTGTGCTCTAACCAAATGAGCTAGCCAGTCAGCCTACCTCATTCTTTCTAACAACTGCATTGCTTTCCATTGTATGAACACATCATAATTTGACTCTTCCCTATAAACAATATTTAATTTGTCTCCAGTTTTTCACTATTACGAATCATACCATAATCTACACCATTATACATAAATTCTTGTACACTCCTGTCAGTATTTCATTGGATTTACTAAAGAACTGTTGGGCTGTGGTTGTGTATGCCCTCAGTGAATGTGGGTGCCTTTTTCCTGCATACTCACTGAATTTGGTCAATTGTCACAATTTTTGCTTACATAAGAGGTGGAAAATGGTTTATTAATATGTGACAGAATATTAACTATTCTGTAAATTATTTAAAAATGGAGACTATATATTCCATCCATAGTATACCTGGCACATCATTTTTGGATGGGAGAGTTTCCTTGATATTACTCTTTCTATTTCTACCCATCCATTTTGGACCCTGCAATTTTAAAGCACCAGTAATTTCTTGTTCACAGCAAAATCTTATTCCCCAGGATTTCTAACCTCACTTTAGTAACTGCACATAAAACGTGCTCAGTAACAGCTGGATAAATTTTGGAATGGGCTTAAAAAGCAGGCAGAGATGTTTAGATTATATTAGAGGGAATAGGGAGTCACTTAACTTTTTTTTTTTAGTGTAAGAACAAGATAAATGTGATATTTTAAGTGTTCGAATCTGGCAGTAACATTCAAGATGATTCAGAAAAAGAAAATAAGACATCAACAAATGCAACTAGGAATTTTAGAAATTTAGGCATAAAATGATGGGAACTTGGCTTAGCATTGCATCATCACAGATGAAGAACAGAAGTGGGTCTAATAGGTAATACCAAGGAAGAAACCATAGGGAATGAGGAAAAAACAAAGAGAGTAGAAAACATGAAACATTCTTGCTGATACCATGATTTCTAGAGACTGAAATAACAAGGGGATGTTAGGATGAGAAACTTGTTTAGGACAGAAGATGGTTTCTGTTTTGGGATGTACTGGGTTTGAAGTGACAACAGTGCTTCTACACAGAGATGTCATAAATGCCAGGGATACATGGGAATAGAGTTCATATGGATGTATAAGATAAAGATGAAAATATGGAGAATACAGGCATAGAAGGGATAGTTGAAACCATCACAGTACATTTGTGGGAGTTTGTAAAGAAATGGAATAGCAGTGTAAAAGACAGAGACTCCTCAGGGATTGTGGCAAGAGGCTACTAGCTGTTCACTGAAATCTGTTCTTCTCATTTTGGGACATATGACTAGATTATATTTCCCACTCTCCCCTGAATTAGACTGAACAAATTCACAAATATCTCACCTGTTACGTTAATGTGAGTGAAAGCAATGTGAATCACTCTAGGCTGCCCATATAAAAACCTTCCAAATGAGCTTCTCTGTGCTCTTATTCTATGCTGGTTAAATGCAGATAATGAGGAGGCTCGAAGAGAAGGTGAAGCCACAACATGGAAGGAAATCTAGTGCCTGAATTGCCAGGTGGAGAACTGTCAACTGACCTAAACAATTCCTCCAGACCAGTATATGAGCAAGAAATAAATTCATATTCTATGTGAGATCATGTATGGCTCAAAATTTGTTGCAAAATTTTGGAGTCTATTTTTTACAGTAGTTTAGTCTATCCTAACTAAGGCAGAAATTATGCATCTGCATTAAAAAATACATTGATAAGAAGCCCTGAAAACAGTAAGAGAGAGAGAGGAGACAAAAATTATTAAACTAGCTGGTGAAAGAAAGGATATCAAGATGACTAGGTCTGTATAATCTAATGCTGCCATGAACAGTGCTATATAAGAACACGAACTGTGAAGTCAGAATGATTAGAATTAAAATAATGACACCATCAAGTAGTCCCCTTTTCCTCATTTGTAAGATGGGGCTAATGCAGGACTCACAGGGAGGCCAGCTTGGTACATACCTGTCATTTATTACTGTTCTCAGACGTTGAAGAAGACTGTTAAAAGCCATTGATCTGTTAAGAAGTAATTCTGTGATGATTTCTCAAAGAGCCATAAATTATCTGGCACAAAAAGTTAAATTACACAGGTTAAAAAGATAATCAGAATTGAAGCTGTGATCACAGAATAAGATTTAGAAAAAAATTAAAAATTAAATCACTGAGAGTGAAACCAATTGTAAAATGATATGAAAATCGAGTAAGTGGACTGTGTTTAATGAAGAAAGACCTACATGCATCTAAATGTACACGGGAAAGAAATTATGATAGGGGCAAGGTTTAGAATACTGGAGAAAAAAGGGAAAATCCTGAAAGTCAGGCCAAAAGAAATGATGAAGGTTAACCCTGATGAGAAAAGCATCTCTTTTCCTCTGACTCCAGAGAGACTAATGAGAAGATGTGAGTGCAGGAAGGGGATGACAGATGGAAGAATCAGCTTTTCCGTGTGTATATACAGATGGCTTTAGCCTTCTCCACGGCCTGGAGAAGGCTTTTGAGGGGAATTCTCTGGTCAGTATCACAAAATCTCCATCTGCCTTGCTCTTACCTGAACTTGGATCTCCTGAAATCTCTCTCTCTATCAGCCATGGTTCTTCTCCTTTCTCCAACTGGGAAATCACACCAGGTTTGGAAAGCCGATATCCTGCTCACGGGGAAGAAAAGACTATGTGCTGGGGTCAAAGAGCCATCCCAAGAATTTTAAAATAGTCCTTTGGTATTCAAGCCTTCTGAAGGATACAGCAGAAAGACCAGGGCAGAAAAGACCACAACAATTCTGACTTTAGTGTTCAGAAGGAATTAGAAACCTCTAACACCGAACCCAAAGCCTTTATTTTTTTAAGAAATAAATATTTTCTTTCAACAGGCAGGTTCTGTTTACAAAGGAACCCATCCTTACCCACTGAGACCAGGTTCCCATAGTTCTCCAGCATCACCTCCCGGTACAGATTCTGATGAGCAGGGGCCAGCTGCCCCCACTCCTCCTGGGTGAAGTCCACAGATATGTCCTTGAAGGTTAACAGTTCCTAGAACATCAAATATGTTCCTTTTAAGCCAGAGTTTGGGAAGTTGTTCTGACCTTGTCTAGATGCTAAGAGATTCTAGTCAAGTTTTCCTAGATATCCTCTTGCTAATTGTTAGTTGATTCTCTGCTGGAGGTTATAAACAAACACATAGAGCATGTAAGTTGCCTTTGCAACACAATTTGGCTGAAGGGAAAAAACTCATGAAATATTAAAGAAGGTCACAGAATGGTGTACAGTAATTTACATTAAGGAAAATAAAGTTCAGGAGCATTTGGGAAAGGGGAGAGTTCAAAAGGAGCTAAGGCCACAAAAGAAGACAGGGACCTTTGTTGAGCTGAAAGAACTGATTCAAATGAGAACATTTTAGCATGGGTAAAATACCCTTTGCTGGGTATTCTGTCAATAGGAAAAGTATTTGAAAACAGCACAAGGGAGCATGAATTCTACCTGGTAAGGTAGACCTTTTGACTGGGACAGATACTCTGTGTTGTGAAGTACAAGAACCTGTTAAGTATGACTTATATGAATTAAATAATCATTTGATAGTTATTAAAAAAAAATACTCCCAAAGAGAATTCAGCAGCTGGAAGGCTAAGATAACAAATTCCCTAAGTATCAAGACAATTTTAATGCTTTTTAGGTATTATAATAATTCTGGAATACAATTCAAGCCTATTAGGCTGGTGTTAACATCCATATTTAATCAATGAGAAAACTGAATGTGAGTGATGTTAAAGACATAGGGTTAAACCCTGTACCCTGTGATTTTTGGAAGCCATGATTACTCCACTTCAAAACTCTGCTGTTCTCTAATATCTCCTTCTATTTCTCCGACTACTCCATAATTCTCTTGAGTTTCCCTATGCCTCTGGGGTTTGGTAGTGCAGAGCTTTGATACTGCCAGTGCCATCTGTTTTCTGATTAGTTCACTTATGATTTACAGCACCCTATTAAACTGCTCTTAGACGTTTTCCCTCCTTTTCTGCTCAGCCTCTTTAGTTTATGCCCTTTACGACCTGCCAGTATCTTCTTTACTCACTGCACTTTTCACCTATAGTTTTGCTCCAAGACTTGACCAAAATTCTCTCTTAAAGGTCATGAATGAAGTGTACACATTTCCAAGAATATCAGAACCTGATTCTCTTGATTTTAAAATGTTGCTTGAAATGTTTTACAACGTTTATCTTTCTTCCAGATATCATCTGTGAGTTTTAAAGGCAAGGAGTACATTACATTCTCATTCTCATTCTCTCTCTCTTCTCTCTCTCTCTCTCTCTCACACACACACACACACACACACACACACACACACACACACACACACACACACACCAGCACAAGAGGTTTGCTGAGGAGTGGGGAAATTACTGGTGAAATTAACTGATGTGGCCTAGTTTCCTAAGGAAGAACAGGCTACGAAAAACCACTCTAAGAAGTGAAGCTAAAGAAAATCAAAGTCCAGGGCTGTTAAAATCTGAGAAACAATGTGAAGAAAAGTGACAAGAAACTCTAACTCACCTGCGATTCTACTGTTGGATGCCCAGAGGTTACTTCATCCTCTAAACCTTCTCCCTGGGTCACATCAGCATCCTGAGATGGCAGAGCTGGGGAAGGAAAGGAGCCATGAGGTTTGTATCTCCCAAACAGAAAATTCCCCAAATAGAAAAACTGCCTGCAGACCCACTGAATGTGGCTCCTCCCTCGGTACATTCACAAACAGGGACATATAGAGCAACTCAACAGCTGCCTAAAGCCTCCTCAATGAGAAGGACCTACAGCATGTTGCTTTGGAAATTAATATTTCCCAGTGGTCAGTGCTGATCCAAAAACACAGATCAGGCCAATCCTTTGTTCAAAAATCCTCAAAGGGTCCCTACTGACAAGAAAGAAAAATCCAAACACTTCACCATGGATCTCAAGATCCTCCACAACCAGTCCAAAGCTTCTTCTCCAAGTATTATCTCCCTCTAAACACTATCCTTCATCCACTAGACACACCTACCTACACAATCCTACTCGCTATTCTTTGAGCATACCTGGATAGCACCCACCTCAGTACTCTCCCCCAAATCCTACTTGGTGAAAAACAGATATTCCTCAGGCCCAGTTCAAGTGAGGTTTTCTCAAACACATTTAATGAGAAGAAATCTTCCCCCCTGTGCTCTCCAAAAGCTTGGTTTTTATATATATGCTGGTATCCACCTCAGGCTGCCTGCTATTATATTTATGTGTATAATTATCTCACTCAATTGAGTATTAGTATGAGCATATACGTAGAAACTGTATCTTGTTCTTTTTTTTTTGTCTGTCTGCTAAAGTGCTAAGCGTAACACCCTGTCAGGTTGCTAGAATTCAAGAAATACTGGCTGACTTTGAGGTATTAAAAATGTGAACTAGGGATTAAGTCACATGAATTACTGTCCTTGTATTTTATTCCAACTTTGTATCATGAATATTGAACATCCACACATTCAACACTCAGATTCAATAATCGTTAACATTTGCTATATTTGCTTCACCAATATATTTTTCTGAACCTTTTCAAAGTTGCGGACATTATGATACTCATCCCTAAATACTTCAAATAAGGGTCTTCTACATAACCACAATGGCATTTATCACATCTAAGAAAATTAAGAATAATTCCATAGTATCATCTAAATACTCAGTTCACATTCAGATTTCATCAACTACTCCCAAACTGTCTTTTATTTTGGATATTTTGCTCAACCAGGAGTTAAGATTCACACAGTGGAAGTTATCTTTAGTATCTTTTATTCTAGAATGGTACTTCCCATTTTTTAATGACACTGGCTTTTTAAGAAACTGGAACAGTCTGTATTCTCATGGTGGGGGTTTACCTTATTTCTCCATCATCTATATTTTCTGTATTCCAGATGCTAGGTCTTTAAACATTTTTGGTAGGATAGCTCATGGGTGATACCATGTGCCTTACATTACATTATCCAGAAAGTATGAAATGTCTGGTTATTCCATTATTGGGATATTTGGTTAAGATAGTGACCACTAGACCACCAGTGGAAAAGTATGTTCTTTCCTTGGCATTTAGCAAGTAATCTTTGGGAGCAATACTTTGATACCATGGGAATAATTGTTCCCATTAACCTTTCAATTATTTCACTTATAGTAAAATATTCTACCATTCCTTCTACATTTATTATTGGCAGGTATTTTCTGTAAAGAGCTTTTCCTCACCAACTCAAAAGCAAGGTAAATGCATCATTCATTCCCATAATAAGGAATTTTCAAAGTAAGCAATCAGTGTATTAATCACCTCCAATGTTTGCAAAAAAGATCCCCTCCATTCTTTATTTTCAGGGTCTTTGTGAACATGTGAATTTTACCTATTCAAGGTGTTACAATTTGGACACTTATACTGTCCCAAATCTGTCCAGTGGGAGCCTTGAACCTGACTCTGGCATCTTTTTGACACGTCTGTTAGTCTTTAAGCTCTTCCTTGCTTTCCTGCCCAAGATATTTCAGGTTTACCTGATACTTGCCCTGCTGCCTTCTACTTCTGATCTAGCCTTCAAGTACCTGTGTGACCCTGGACAGTTTTCCATTTTTATTTACATTTCCTCACCTTTAAAATAAGGTTAAGTCAGGCAAGTCCTTCCTGCCCCACGCACCCATGGGGAAGATGAAAACAAATAACATACACAGCCATGACACTAAAATATTGGTTTTATACTGAACTGACCACCAGGAAAACCCCTGACCAGGAAACATAATCAAGAACTCCAGAGACCTTTCACTCAACTGTTTCCACAAGAGATGCTTCCACTTAAGTGTCTAAATTCCTTTTCACACTTGAGGAGCCTGCTGTTCTTCCCTCCCACCCATCAGTCTATTCTCACCTTCTCCTTCAAACATTTTAGTCACATCCTCCCACAGGGGCGCCCCCTTCTTGGCCTGCCCTGGATGGTGCAATTTCACCCAGGTGCTGGCTTCGGTGGGCACGGTGATCGGGAGCTGTCGCGGCATGACGATTCTCGAACTCCTTTCTGAGGGACTCGCTGTTTCAGCCCACTAGACAGAGTCCAGACAGGGCTTCTCCACTTCTGATGAGGAAACCGCTGCAACCTCTGAGGGGAGGCTTCCTAGTCGTCCCGGTCTCCTCTAATCACCGACTCCTGCTCCTCAGTGTCCTCATTCCTGGGAACCCGGGAACATACAGTGGTAAAATCTGGGGTCTGAACTTTTGCCATCGGCTCTCAAGACACATCTCCCATCCTGAGCTCCATCTGTCTCCTCAGCCGGCAGCTGGAGGCAGCTGGAGGCACCAGGTGTTTATTCTGCGTAGCCGCCTCTACAGTCTCCCGCAGGCTGGGCAGAAAACAGGAAAGCATCTAGAAGGCGTTGTCACACGGTCAGAATTCCTGCACTTGCACAAATCATTGTAAAGTTTTTACAAAAGATACCTGGAGACGGTGGCTATACAACAGCTCACACGGCCCAAAACACCGTGCAGGTGTCACGAAGCACAAAGAGACAAGCACACCCAACTCTTTGTCTTAGGTAGAAATTACGTCTAAAGCACTCCGGGATTTGGAATCCCACCTCCCTCCTCACCCGCGAGGCTAAAGCTTGCTCTCCGGCTGCGCCCGCGCGGCCCTGCCCTCGCAGCTATTGTCTGAGTCCAACCCCGGAGCCGGCGCACCACGCACAACCGGGCGACCGCGGGCGGCGCGGGGCGGAGGTGGCGCTTCCCGGCTCATCCCCCTCCCCAACCCCGGGCCAGCCCCGGCTCACTCTCTCATCTGCCAGGACCGCACGTCCCCGCACGCCCGCTGCGGCCGGCCGGTCCCCGCGCAGCGAGCCGCGGCTCCCAAGTAGCGAGCGCCGCGGAGGGTGACCCCCGAGCCCAGCGCGCCTGCGCGGCGGCCTCGAGCGTCGCTCCCGGCGTGCCCCGCGGGCACCTCCCCCACTCGCGCGCGCCCTGTGGGCTGCTGGCCCGGCCGCCCGCCCCTGCACGTGGGCGCACCATGGATCCCAATGAGGTGTGAGGCGGGACAGCTCCTGCTGGAGGAGGAGGAGCCAGTGTTCTAGCGCACCAGAGGCTACAGAAGAGAACCGTCTCTCTGCGGCCGGGATGTGAGTGGACGTTTGAATCCCTTGACAAAAGGGAGCCACCCGCATCGCTTCCTTGTTGAAACAACACTGCTATAAAAGAATCCATACCCCTTTCACTGAACAGTAGGTACGTGGAAAAAGACCGAAAATGAATGGATTCCAGTGTTTTATTAAAAGAAAACCACGGTCAGTTAGCTTTCTATTCTGGTATTGACAGTAAAAGTTCTCACCTTGCTTTCCTTATATTTCTGAAACGCCAGAACATACACCAAAACAAGAAAATAATTATTACCTATGATCTCACCAAGCAGAGGTAACCGTTGTTAACATTTGGTGCACAGCCTTTCCTGCACACACACACCATTTATGTTTTTCCATGCATTTTTAGGTATTTTCTACAAAAGTGATTATATTGTAATGCTACTTTATTGGCTGGGTTTTCTCCCCTCAACAGAATAGGAGGACATCATTTCACATACATTTTTTCAATACCTTACAAAAATGACAATTTACAAAATATAATAAAACTCTAGTAGTTGTTAGCTGTTATGAACTGAATGTTCGTGTTCCCCCCAAATTTATCTTGAATCCCTAACCCCCAACATGACTGTGTTTGGAGATAGAGCCTTTATGAAAGTAATTAAGGTTACATAAGGTCATAAGGCTGGGCCCAGATCTGTTAGGATTAGTCTCCCTATAAGATGAGATAACAGACAACACTCTTTCTCTCCTTTTCCCCTCTGAGCACTGCAGGAAAGGTCACCTGCAGACTTAGGGAGAAGACTTCTGTTTGCAAACCAGGAAGAGAGCTCTTGACAGAAACTAACCCTGCTGGGCGTTAATCTGGGACATCAAGCCTCCAGAACTATGAAAAAATTTCTGGTGTTTAAGCTACCCAGTTTATGATATTTTGTTATAGCAACCCAAGCCAACTAATACACTAGCATATAGTATTTCCAGAGTATAAAGCTTTGCTCTAAGTGCATTACATATTTCAACTGATTTAGTTATCATAACAACCCCTTGGGTAAGTACTACTATTATTCCCACTTTACAGATAAGAAAACTGAAGTTTTGAGACTTCAAATAAATTGCCCAAGATCATACAGCTTGCAAGTGGGGAATCCAGGCAGTCTGTGTTCCTATCTGCTACTCAACAAAAAAACAGCATAAGATATAGTGAAATATTAATGGTAGAGTTTAGGTAGTGGTATATGGATTCTCACTGTAAAATTCTTTAAATTTTTCTGTATGTTTAAATATTTTCATAATACAATGTTGGAAAAATATAACATAGCTTAGAATAAACAAGAATTATGCAGGAAATTATAAATAAAACTACAAAAGTTGTTGGTATAAATGGAGAGAATAGTGACATATGCCATATTTATGAATTGGAATAGAATATTCTAAATATGTCACTTTTCCTCCAGTTAGCATAAACTTTAATGCTCCAATTTCAACTCTTCTTTTTACTAAATTAAATTATTCTAAAGTTTAGCTGATATGATAAGCGTTCTAGAGTGATCAATAACATTTTCCAATAACTTGCCTTGCACAACTGAATTTAGATTGTTAAAGTGACCAATATATTTGGGTCAGTGCCAGTTATGCAAATGCTCTCACAAAGTGTATGTGAACCAGAAAGATGAAGTTATTTTAGCATCTTGAAGAGACAGATGAGAATTCTCGAGGAGAAAACCGATGAGCTTGTGAATAAAACAGAAGCTGCTAGAAATCATTGCCCATCTCTTCACAGAACTGAGAAAAAGAGAGAATTCAGTGACCCACTCTTATATGACTAACAATTTTAACAGCTTTGTTAAGTATTCATCTTAAACCTTCCTGCCCACTTCTCCCTGTAGATTATCAATAAATTTTATTCAAATCACCACTACTGTTTGCATTTCCATTACAATTCTCAGCCTCATCTTTTAGAAACACCATTTTCACCATTGCTTCATGATAGGGTTAAAAGGAAATTAACATTATCAGTAATGACAGAGTAAGGCCCAATTCCAATTTACAGTTATATATCTTTGTACCTATTTTCCATAACAAATGATTGTCATCTTCCAGAAGACCAATGCTGAGAACAATGCAGAAGAAGTCCATACATGCTTCTGAGCATTTATGATGGAAAATTTAGTTACAGAAGCCAGTGCGTTTTGTGTCCTGTGCATATACTTCAGACCTCCCAGTGGCTCCAGCTGCCAGTATCTGCATCTCTGTGCCTGAAGCTGAGCTGCCCCAAATGTCGAGGAATTAACACTGACCACTCCCTCCCCCACCCCCACCAACAGCCCTCAACCAATAAGAGTCATTGGTTGGTATGAGCATGCCCAGTGTGCTCATCACTGTATGGCATAATTTGGGGGGTTGTATTTTGCAAAATTTTCCAGAGTTTCACTGAGATTAAGCTCTAGTCACCTATAGTGGTAACTAACTTACTAATGTACCCTTTACTGGCTATCTTCCTTTTCCTTTCTCATTTCTCCCACTTCCCTGTTGGTATTTCCTGTGTTTCCCAAATAAACTACTTGCACTCCAGTAGTTGTCTCAGAATCTGCTTCTGAGAGAACCGAAATTACAATCACTGAATGTGTGGACAAAGAGCCTGTAAGTCATCGAGTCCTTGTAAGGTAAGTTATCATGTCTTACCAGCTTATATTACTCTCATCCCAAGCGATAACATCCTTGAAGTTTCATATTTAATGTACCAGCTATATTTCTTCTATTACACATTAAAAATAAATGCAGACAATTCATCAAGCTATACATTACAATGGAGAATAACAAAACCATATTCATCTTGCTTTCTTTAAGCCCCCCAAAATTAATAAACCAGACTGCACAGTTTTATGCTAATTTTTATGGGCGAGTCAGGGAAATTCAGAATTCAAACTGTACTTAACTTGAGCTCTCTTAAAGAGAAAGTACTCAACAACGTGAGCCCTCACAAGGACTGTGGCCACAACCCTCATCCCACAGGCGCCCTCTTCTTTGAGACTCTCAGTCTACATCTCCGTTCCCTGGAAAACTACACCCCTTCACAAAACAAGGGTCTCATCTTCTGGCCTTCCTTCCTCCCTATCTTTGTTTTATGCTCTTAAATTCTAGTTAAAAGAGCAGATGGAACTTATGCATTTAGCTCTACTCCCTCATAAAATCCCATCATAATTGCAGAAAAAGAGATTTAAAACCAAAGGCATAAACCCGCAGGGACAAATCAAATGGAAGAAGAGAAAAACAACAACAAAATTTTGGCAACTGGAAAACAGATGGATGAGTGGCGACAGATTTATGAGTCCTGAACAGGCTGAGCAGACGGTGGGGAAAGCCAGAAAGCAACCTAATTTCCCTTGCAGAATCCCGAAAAACAAATTGGTTGCCTGGGGTACCCCTGAAAATGGGGAGTGAAAGTGATGCTAAAAGTAGAATATTGATGACAGAACTGTTGAAGAGGCATCTCTGCACTACTCTACAATCAGGTGACTACTCTTCTTTTACCTCTTCAGGAGACTGGAGTAGTCACCTCGGGGAAGGATAAAATAGAGGGGTCTCTGAAGGACACCAGTTGAGGACAGGTAATATGCTGAATATGGAGGATGGGATGGGACAAGGATAAATGAAAATTCACCCACTGAACTTGAGACTCCCAACCTTCTTCCCAAAATGCTCCCACCCAGGTCTATACTCTCTGAGTAGCAAATCTGAAGAAACTTCTGCAGCGACTCCAGTTGGCCTAAGATAAAAGATCTAAAGATACTGACACTGGTGGTTCCCCAAGGACATGCCCCAGGCAGACCACCACCCAGTTCATGGTGGGCAGCTCTGGTCCCAGGGCACCAAGAGCCTCATGATCTGTGGTTCAATCTCCACAAGTTTCAGGTGGAGAAGTCATGCCAAAGAGGGCATAACTTAAAACACTATAATTACTTCTTTTGTGATTCTTTCATTGGAACTTGTAAGAATCTCCATACAGTATCCAGATCTGCTACCAACCTACCGAATCATAAGGCCTTAGGGAAGAGCTGTGTATAGCCTGAACAAGAAGAGACTTTCACCACTCTGGCTCCACTTGAAGTAGGCAATTTTCAGGTTACCCAAAAATTGGTTGAACCAACACACCCAAATATGACAAATGTGCTTCATAAATCCAAACTGACTCACCAAGTACTATACTCTTTTAATAGAGAGGGCTAAAAACTTCAGCAAGTTGTTCTTCACTTTAAAGGCATTATCCCAACATGCCTCAAATAATTCATTGATGTGACAGGACTCCTTACAGATTATAGATTGTTTATTACTTTCTACTTAAAACAACAATAATCATTTATTAATTCTCACAGTTTCCATGAGTTAGGAATTTGACAGTGCTCAGTGCAGACAGTCTGTCTTTGCTCCGTGATGTTGGGGGCCTAGCTGGAAGACTTGAAGGCAAAGAACTAGAATCATCTGAAGGCTTATTCATTACCATGTAGGCCTTGCTGGGGCTGTTGGCCAGAACACCCACAACTGACCTATCCATGTGGCCTGGGCTTCCTCAAACTATGGTGGCTAGGCTCAAAAGGCAAGAGTCCTGAGAGATAGGCAAGAAGAAGCCATACTGTCTTTTTATAACCTAGCTTCAGAAGTCACACAGTATCATAGCTGCTGTATTTTATTGGTCAAGGAAGTTATAAAGGTTCATTTGAGGGGAGAGAAAATAGACCCCAACCTTCGATGGAAGGATGCTAATGTCACTATAAGACA